AACAAGTTATCAATCTGTTAGAATTTTAGGGAGCTGTGTTGGTCTAGTTGGATAAAGAGTTGCCCTGCCAATGCAAAGGCAAATGGTTTGAATCCACTATCTACTTAATTGGATATAGATAGCCAATCTCCTGTTGTGCATCTTAAAGCATCTTAAAACCCTCTGATGGCTCAGCTATGTGTCAGTTCTGACTTGTGGCAATGAGATTTTTTTTTAGTACTAGAATTTTATAATTTTTCCCCTAAATGTTTTGTGAATCTTTTTTTTTTCCTTGTTACTGATGTATATATTGGACTGACCAAGTCTTATTCACTTAACAGGTTGTGGTGGAGAGCTATTTGGTGACACAGGTTCCTTCGCCAGCCCAGATTATCCTAACAGGTATCCACCCAACAAAGTGTGTATCTGGTACATTACCACAGCCCCTGGGACTAGTATTCAACTCACCATCCATGATTTTGATGTGGAGTACCATGCCAGCTGCAATTTTGATTCACTTGAGGTAAGAATTTAGATGCTTTTCCAACCAAAGTCTAAGATTTGGGGTGGAATTGGAAATAACTGAACAAATTTCCAAGGATTTACCAGTAGCTAACACTGATCACTGATCATTCTGATTGTTTTATTAGATGAGGGGTTAACATATTAATGGGTGGTAATCTTAGGAAGCAGAGGCTAGAGAACCGTATGAGTGAAGGACGAATAGTCAACAAAGGGTGTTCTGTGGTCAATTCAAACCATCTGAGAGCCCATGTAGACTATTCCTCAGAGTAGCTCCTCTGATGGATCGACTTCTATCCCCATTGGTCAAAGATTAAGCACTCTTTCTTAGGAAAAAAAAAGTCTTTGGGCAGTAGACTTGGAGAGTAGGTGAACACTTAAGGAAGGACACTGGCACACACATGCCCCACAGAAGAGCTGAGAACTGAGGTGGTTTGACCCAATACCCAGCACAAACACCAAATGCTCCAGAGAGATATTTTCTTAAAGGTTAAATTGTTGTGATGAGCCATCAAGTCAGAATTGACTCATAGCTGATTCTTCAGTGAGATTGCATAGGCTGTAAATCACATGAGAGATTATTCATTTTCCTACCATAAAGCAGGTGGTGGATTTGAATTCATTACCTTGGAGTTAACAGTGCAACTTCTTACCACTAAGCTACTAGAGCTACCTAATGTCTTATATCTTATAAGACATTTTAGAATAAGAGCATTTTCAACAGTATTACAAAGGCTTTATCTCACATAATTAAAATGGCCTTAGAGAATTAAAAATGGCCTTAGAGAATTTGGCCCCCAAGTTTTTTTATATAATCAGCTTTTTATTGTAAGCATCTAGTCATTAGATTGGTATAAATGGTTATGTTTTTACTGACAGACTAGTATGTCGAACCCACCCAGCCACTCTACAGGAGAATTCTATAAATATTATAGCCAAGGAAACCCTTTAGGGAAACTCCACTCAACCACATGGGACTTCTGTGAGTTGGAATAAATTAGACAGTATCTAATAATAGCAACAGTCATGGGGAGATACGTATATCTCTATATCTATCTATCTATCTATCTATCTCTGTATCTATCATTATTTGTCTATGAACTTTCAAGGGAGCTTTGGTAGCTTAATAGTAAGGCGTTGTACTGACAAATAAAAGGCACACAGTTCAAATTTACCGTTTACTCTGCCAGAGAATAATGAGCAGTCTCCTCCTGTATAATTTACAATCTCTGAAAACCCATTGGGAGGGTCAGCTATGCAATTTGATGATGAATAACATGAACTTTGAGCTATCTGCAAAATACAGTGGCTTCCAAGTATACATAAAGATCCCATTACTGCAACTCTAGAAACTTTACAGAGACTCACAGAGTTGCTACAAGTAAAAAAATCAGCTCAGGGGCAATGGGCTATAGGGACTTCAATAGCATAACAAAGGAACTCTGATTGTCAGGTGTGTTTTGTGTTGTACTGCTAACTGAAAGGACTACAATTTGGATTCACAAGTTGTTCCTTGGGAGAAAGATAGATAGCCATCTCTATAAAGATTTATAGCACCATAAACCTGGTGGAGTGTCGTTATAGGTCAGAATTGATGCCACAGTAGTGGATAGACCCTAAGCTCCATCAGGATTGGATATTTGTTTATTTTCTTCTTTTTCACACCCCTCCTCCCCCTCCCCCCATTGCTATTTCACCAGGACTAGGGACTGCCCAGCAAATAATAATCACTTACAGAGCTCTGCTTGCCCAATGATATGAAACTGTTGTAATCCCAAAGGCATGTGGTTCCAGTCCACCAGCTGCTCCACAGGAGAAGGACAAGCCATTTCCTCCCATGTGGTTTACTGCCTCTGGAAACCCACTGAAGGGTCAGTTAGGAGTCAGTTGCAACTCAGTAGCACAAACCACCACCATCCTGACACGTCCATGGAATGAAGGAAGAAAAGCAAACTTCTGACTGACACATTACAATAGCTCCTATCTGTGGTATTTACACAGGATATTTTTTTACATCCATTTCCTCATTTAAAATAATCCTCAGTGAAATAAGATGATATTTTTGTCCTCATTTTACACTTACTAAAACTGAGGCTTAGCAAGATTTGTGAGTTTTTCTATGATTACATAGAAAGTAAATAGAAGAGCTAGATATTGAACCCAATTACTATTTAAGACTCTATATGATATACATTAAACTGCAAATTAGTGCAGTGTGCTGAAATGAGTGCCATGTATATCATTGTCATGGGAAATTTTTTTTTTGTCATGGGAAATTTTAACACTTAAAAACTGTATTGAATCACAAAATAAGTTCTTTTCCTTGAGGGGAAATATGGAGTTCTCTAATCAGCCCCACATGGAATAGCTGTAGTCACTGGGAATTATGTTTATTAACTCGTCTTAAAATGAACAATGTGCTGTGGTCAATTGACTTATATAAAACTATAACATCTCATCCCTGTTTTCATGTAAGTATTTCTGGCAAGTCATCGCAGAGGACAAGTGGCTTTCTGTTTTGTTTTTAAAGTGAAGCGAACAAGATGCCTCCCAAGATTCACACTCACAGTGTGAGTTAGGAATAGAACTCACATGTGGAATGTTTAGAGAGTCTGTCTTACCAGCAAGGATATTTCTTGGTTGCATAAAGCCCCCGCCCCTCATACTTACAAAGGGCTGACAGTGGATTTTCCACAGCAGTGTGCAATGTTCTGAACTCTTCATTTTCATATTCCAAAGTGCATGTGATTGTTGCCCACTTGGCAAAATATAAATGGATTCATTGTGTTTAGGGTTTTGTCACACTCATTACGTGAGAAAGCAGACTGGGGCAGTTCCCTGAGAGCAGCCTCCAGTCCAGAAGGACAGAAGCAAGGGCTCCAGGCAGCAGCTTGAAGGCAGGACCCTGTGCCTGCCTGAGCAGAAATGGCCGCAGGAGAGAGGCTGCCGCCTGTTGAGGCTTTGATTAGGACAGGCTGGCAATGTGGGGCTTCCCTTGTTTCAGCAAAAAGCAGCCCCTGGGGGAATAGTTTGAGCCTGTTAATCCAATATTTGTGGAAAATAATTTCTTTCAGGCTTTTATGTGCAATCTCTTTCCTCACTCTAAAAGTCGTGCTTCAGCTACTCCAAGTATTCCACTCAGGTGGAAATTGCTGAAGTTTGTTTGGAATGATAATGATAAAATGATCCCCTCACCCCCTTATCTTAGACAGTGATAACATGAAATCTTTACCCTGGTGGATGGAGATTTCAGCACCAGTGCTGTTGTGTTCCACTCATTTTTTTCCTAAGGCTGCATGTTTTGGTTTTTTCTTTTTCTTTCATGTTCTGCTGAGCATAGCTGAGTTAAGACCTTGTTGTCACCGGGCATTCAAGTTCACCTGGGTTTCACTAAATTTAAGCAGGAGGGGTTCCTCCTGCCCTTAGAAATCAGTGTCCAGAAAATGGCCACATGCATAAAGCAACAGAGCTTGGTTACTCATAACCCTGGAATGCTGACTTGATTGTAACAATAAATGGAGCTAACAGAGCAGAAAGAAATGTTCAAACCAGATTAAAACCACAGGGTTTGAAAGGGTCTCTACCCCAAGCATTCACTAAAATCACTTTAAAAAAAAATCTTGAATCAAAGCAAATCATTTTCTTACATTTCAGTCATATGTTGGAGTTGCATAAACCACACCCTGACATTCTTTCCATCTTTTTCCTCTTTTTTTAAGACTCATATGCTACTCATGGTTTTATTTGTGGAAGCCAAAAGTGCCGTGCTATTGTTCTTGTCCTGGAAACACACTAGCTGGTTTTGCTTCAGTCTGTGTGAAAGTGCCACAGAGGGCAGCCTGAACAGGCACAGAGCAGAAAAGGAAATGTACTCCTTGGTGCAATAAACCACCACAGTTGCTTGCTCTGGGCACATCGCTAGGTCTGGTCTTTGTGGTGGTCATTTGTGAGCATAGCTGCATAAGAGGGGGAGGCAAAGGATGTCCAAAGTGGCAGCATTTATTCTTCAGGAAGTTTCTAGACCCAGCCAACTCGTACCCATTATGTCTGTAATCTCAAGGGCAGGGAATACAAAGGATAATTTGCCGACAGGCGAGTTTTCATTGTTAGAACTAAACCCTCGTGCGCAATGTTCTCTCCAAATATGTGCTGTTTATTGAGCTTAGATGATTAGAAGCACATGCCATTCTTTTAAGGCTTGGGTGCTGCTCTCTGGGTAAGGGGGGGAGGGGAAGGCGTTCTTAAAAATGAGAAAGAGTGTCAGACAAGCAATGAGGAAGAAGGCTCTCACATTTGCATATGTGTACGTGTGGAGGGCCACACAGGGCTCTTCCTACAGCCCTGCTTTTGATGGGACTTCAGAGGCCACACAAACATCAGCTCCTCCTAATGAAAATAAGCCTGGAGCAGTCAGCCTGCTTCATTCCTCTGCAATTACAGTCCTTGTGCTCAGTCCTCTGTGGAACAGCAGTTTCATTCATTTTGGCCTTTCCCTCATGGCTGGGGGGAATTAATCAGACAAAGAAATCATTATAGATTCAAATCACACACTCTTCCCCAGAAGTAGGCTTCTTGTTTTCACTTACTCTTCCCAGAGAACCCTTGAGTGAGCTCCTTATCAATCAGGAAACCAGAGGATGGTCCAGGGTGCCAGAGACTAAAGGAGAGAGTAATCTGGAGATGGGAGAGGGGTACACCTAGGAGGAGTGGGAGCTCTGGGCACTATGAATAGATCTCACTGAGGGCTACTTCTCAGTGTTATGACCTGTTAGTGCAAGGGGAGCAGGTTATAAAGGATGCAGAAAGTTATATACCTGGAACCTCTTATCTAAAACAGCCTTTCATTTATAAACTTAAGTGTTACAAGACCTCTTCTGTTTATTTCTAGCTTTAACTTTCATCATACTCATTCTATCTCTATATCTCTCTTCCTTTCTCTTGCACGAACATACGTGTGCGTGCACACACACAGAGAGAAAGAGAGAGCTCGCGCGAGAAAGACACACACACACACACACACATACATATGCACCCGCGTCCCAGGGGAGACTGAGACATCTGTGTGACATCTGTGTGGAGACTTGATGGGGCTGAGCACCCTGGAGAAGTTGTACAAATGAGACCAGGAGGACACTTGGTATGAGGAATGTGACACTGGGGCTGTGGATCTCACACCTAGATAGCTGCAAACTTGTGGAAGTTTAGGAGCTTGAAGCCAAAGGAGAGGAGTTTAAATGGAGCTTTCAGATGATGAGGCACAATCTGGGGCAATTCTAGAGCAGAAGTGTGATCAATTGGTCAGATTCCCAGGAGTGAACATGTTGAGCATAGGTATAGAGTGTATCTGTAGGATTCCCTTCATGGAGATATTCCAAATCACACATATAGTTGTGTTTACACTGTGCCTGAGAAGCAAAAATATTAAATTTAATGCCTAATTTTAGAAAATATTCAGACTGCAAAGCATGATAGAAAATTCTAACAATATCACAATTGGTAGTGTTTAGTGAATTCACTTTCTATAAACCAAGTGCCTCTAAGGTAATGGTCACAATGATAGATGGAGAGGCGATTGAAGTTGTTAACAATTTCAACTTACTCGGCTCCACAATCCACACTCTTGGCACCAGCAGTCAGGAAATCAAAAGACAAATTGGATCAGGAAAGTCTGCTCTCAGGGACCTTGCCAGAGTGCTGAAGTGCAAAGATATCAGTCTAGAGACTAAAGTGTGCCTGATCCAGGCCATGGTCTTCACACTTCCTTGCTATGAATCAGAGAGCTGGACAATGACTAAGGATGACAGAAGAAGAATCAATGCATTTGAATAGTGGTGCTGGAAAACAGACTTGAGCATACCATGGACCACAAAGAAAACAAACAGATCTGTCCTGAAGAGAATGAAACCAAGTTGTTCTCTGGAGGCAAGGATTTGAAAGCTCTATCTAATGCTTTGGCCATGTTGCCAGGAAGGAACAGACCTT